TTTCAAAGGAAACATTGAATACATTTAAGCCATCAAATATTTGCATAATCGTGAATACCGTAGCAAATAAAATATGATTGTTATTGAAATCCAACGCGACGTTAAATATTCATTAGCATTTTTTGTTCACCGGGTTTCACCTAAGTTTCACGCGTGATTTTTTTTAAAAACAAAGACTTTCTGTTCGACAGGTGATATATCGTTATCTAAGGAGACTACATTATGTACAAGACAAAAACGTTTACGAAGCATCGATGGTTTTAAACGAACTCTAAAATAATACTGACCGAATTGAGAATTAAGCGAGGCTAATCATGCTTACCAAGCACCCCTTTGTAAATTTCATTCTCAATTCATAAGGTGAAGTACTTCTTATACAACTGATTATAAAGTTGATAAAATACGTGCTCCGAATCAACTTTTGCCTTAACTTTTCATGGAACTTTAGATCAGAAAATTAACGTTAACTTTCGAACCATGGAGCCGGGTCAATCGTGACCTGGACCTACGAAAAGTACAATGGTGCTTCGATATAAATTAAGCACTCGATTTTTCGAACGACCTTCGCTTATTGGAAAAGAAGCAATTAATTACACGGAAATGAACGAACCGGTCAGAATATAAAATGACGGTTCAAAATCTCGGTAATAAATATGAGATCTGCAGTTATAATTTGTAAAGATAAAATTAAATTATGTAATATCAGCTATTTTATTATTATTTAATTTTGTTTTAACTGTACCTTATAAATTGAGAATGGAGAACACGTTGATCGCGAATACTTTCATTACATTAAACTACACGATTTTAATTATAATTTGTTCGAAGTAAATGAAACGTAATTTATTTGCAAATTGAGGAATATTGTATTTTTTAAATTGTTTAATTGTACAAAGAGTGCAGCATACTCGCGTTTCTATATATCCAGCTTTATAAATCTCTAGGTTTTAATGGCACTAGATCTCAATATTCCTGTATGACAATCTCTAGTTCCATATTTGGGAAATTCTCCGGTATGAAATATTCCCAGATTCGATAAGTTGTTTTCTTATACCACTGTATTAATAAATCCCTAGATTGCACAGATTTTAAGGTTCCAATATCCTTGGATCATAAAAATCACTAGATCGTAAAATCCCTAGATAGGAAACATCCTTAGAGCATAAGAATCCACAGATCCCAAAATTACCTAGACCCCAAAATCCTTAGATTCCAAAAAATCCCTAGATCCCAAAAATCCACAAATACCCAAAAATCCACAGATACCCAAAAATCCCCAAATCCCCAAAAATCCTTAGATCCCAAAAATCCCCAGAGCCCAAAAATCCCTAGATCCCAAAAATCCCCAGGGCCTAAAAATCCCTAGATCATAACAATCCGAATATCCCTAGATCCAAATATCCCGAAATCGTAAAATTCCCTAGATCCCAATATCCGTAAAGTCTCTAAATTCGTAAATTTACAAAATTTTATTTAAACCGTATATCCCTAGATTTTGACATAGGTAGATCTATATTTGTTACGCATAAAATCCCCAATTTCACGAAGAGTGGCCGTATAATGTTTGAACGCTGAACTATTCATATAAAGAGTTTTACGTCTAAATTTGTTGTACATACTTGTACGCTGATGAAACTGGACATTTGCATGTTTACAAAATTCGCGTTGTTTACGGGCTGAAAGAACCAATCAAAACGTTTTACTCGTACGAAATCGGGATCAGTGGATTTTGAAAGAGCGTTCATTATTTGACGAAGCAAACACGATACTGGGCCACAGAGAATACATGCAGACGAGACTTCATCGAACGTTAAAATACAATTACGGTCCATAACTGTATAAAATCATTGGTAAACCTTTGTACAGAGTTCCGCGTGTACGTCAAATTTTCAAACCTAATTTCCTCGGAAAGAAAGCTTCGCCGTTCGAAAAAAGAAAAATATAAACGGAATTATGTATTTCGCTGCACTCTGTGTATAGTTTTATGAACAATTCTGCAATTTTAAATAACTACGTACTCGAATGAAAATAGAAACGAATCGTGATGTTGTTTGCTGATTGACGATCAACGCGTTAAAAAAGAAAAATAGTTAAGCTTTAGAGAAAGAAAAGAACACAAATATACTACTACGATAAATGCAGACAGAAGCATGATTTAAATAACAATAACAAACTCTCAGGATTGTATGCGCTTTCGTTTGTAGCAGAATAATGGAATACTAATAAAGGTATTTCGAATTAATCTTTTAAGTCAATTAACCATATTTTGCTATCTCGTTGAGAATGTTTAATACATTAAACGTTTAGGAGATAACAGAAGGGAAATGTAAGCTTTTAATTTTTCGACGAATTAATTGTAACCGGTTGAATAATAAATAAATTAAAAAATTGTAGTATTCCAAAAATCCCTAGATCCCAAAATTACCTAGACCCCAAAATCCTTAGATTCCAAAAAATCCCTAGATCCCAAAAATCCACAAATACCCAAAAATCCACAGATACCCAAAAATCCCCAAATCCCCAAAAATCCTTAGATCCCAAAAATCCCCAGAGCCCAAAAATCCCTAGATCCCAAAAATCCACAGATACCAAAAAATCCCCAGACCCCCCAAAATCCTCAGATCCTAAAATTCCCTAGATCCCAAAAATTCCCAGATCCTAAAAATTCTCAGATCCCCAAAAATCCCCAGATCCCCAAATTCCCAAAAATCCCTAGATCCCAAAAATCCCCAGGGCCTAAAAATCCCTAGATCATAACAATCCGAATATCCCTAGATCCAAATATCCCGAAATCGTAAAATTCCCTAGATCCCAATATCCGTAAAGTCTCTAAATTCGTAAATTTACAAAATTTTATTTAAACCGTATATCCCTAGATTTTGACATAGGTAGATCTATATTTGTTACGCATAAAATCCCCAATTTCACGAAGAGTGGCCGTATAATGTTTGAACGCTGAACTATTCATATAAAGAGTTTTACGTCTAAATTTGTTGTACATACTTGTACGCTGATGAAACTGGACATTTGCATGTTTACAAAATTCGCGTTGTTTACGGGCTGAAAGAACCAATCAAAACGTTTTACTCGTACGAAATCGGGATCAGTGGATTTTGAAAGAGCGTTCATTATTTGACGAAGCAAACACGATACTGGGCCACAGAGAATACATGCAGACGAGACTTCATCGAACGTTAAAATACAATTACGGTCCATAACTGTATAAAATCATTGGTAAACCTTTGTACAGAGTTCCGCGTGTACGTCAAATTTTCAAACCTAATTTCCTCGGAAAGAAAGCTTCGCCGTTCGAAAAAAGAAAAATATAAACGGAATTATGTATTTCGCTGCACTCTGTGTATAGTTTTATGAACAATTCTGCAATTTTAAATAACTACGTACTCGAATGAAAATAGAAACGAATCGTGATGTTGTTTGCTGATTGACGATCAACGCGTTAAAAAAGAAAAATAGTTAAGCTTTAGAGAAAGAAAAGAACACAAATATACTACTACGATAAATGCAGACAGAAGCATGATTTAAATAACAATAACAAACTCTCAGGATTGTATGCGCTTTCGTTTGTAGCAGAATAATGGAATACTAATAAAGGTATTTCGAATTAATCTTTTAAGTCAATTAACCATATTTTGCTATCTCGTTGAGAATGTTTAATACATTAAACGTTTAGGAGATAACAGAAGGGAAATGTAAGCTTTTAATTTTTCGACGAATTAATTGTAACCGGTTGAATAATAAATAAATTAAAAAATTGTAGTACAATCCTGAGAGGCAGATTTGCATTGTTTAAAAATTCATATTAAGTTGTTCCATAAGTAATATTTTTTACTTCGTTTGAATAGTATATCTATACATATTTTGTTCATATTTCAACCATAACTGATTTAATATACCCACATAAAGCAGATCAGACTTTCAAATTCCCAAATTTAGAAATGTATGAAGTTGGAAACTTGAAACTTACCCATGGCACAACTTAATACTGTAATATTTCATCAAACGTACAACGGGATACTCAAAAGTTTATAGAACTGTCCCTCGTTTTACGCGGTGCTCTTTATTACGGATTTCCGTTTCTCATTTAACTTGGCTCACCATATTTACAAAAGCAAGTAAACCCAGTTGTTAATGCACCTTTGAAGTTATGGTTTAATCCACCTTTGAGGCCACGAACAATTTCGTTCTTTATTTCAAATATTCCACAAGACTAAAAGCATGTTACATACAATTTTCTGCGAAATTTTAAGACTAATATTTTTCCTCTTTACAAAAATCAATATTTACAATCGAAGTTCAAATATCCCCACTCATGTAGTAAATATAGATACTGAAAAATGTCTTTCTGTCTTACATTAAAACAAAGAGTGATTTTACCGCAAGCTAAAAGCGCTAAGTGGTTTCAGTGTCATTTCGTTTCCATATAATTGAACAATTTTTTGCATTCGTCGAATGAAGTATACAGTGAGACACCGTGTATAAAGTTTATGAAGTACACGTATAGGCAGTATTCATTTATTTTATTCAAAAAGAAACAAAAGTTGTTCATGTACTTTTGGCCCAAAAGGTGTAGTCCTTAATGTGTGCAAGCTTATGCACACGTAATTTGAAGTAAATACTAAAGCAGAAGAATAAACAATAAATTCTTTATGTGAACATAAGCGGACAGATACTTTCAAGAGAAGTATCTTAACAAATTTTGTAATTTAAAGTATGGAACTCGTTAAAGTATGGAGCAGTCATGTGACCGATTTGATACTTTTAGCCCGACATGCGTTTTCGTCGCTGCAACTACAACGATTATCCAACATGTGACATTGCAGCGAATGAGAGCAGCAAAAACAGGAAATACGTGTGACCTCACTCTCGGTGTTAACGAGAAGCAAAGAAAATAGGGACTAGATATCGATTCCATAAAATGGGTATCCCGTGATACGCGTAGAAGCATAAGCAATAAAATGAGCCCCCGTGCAGAAGCTTACTGCACTCAGCCTCGTCTGAACCGTCCGAACAGTCTGTATTGTCGTCGCACATCCATGTAAGTGCGACGCACTCGCCGTTCCCCGAGTGACACGTGAACTGTTCCGCCGTGCAGTTCTTCGTCCCTACAAGATGACAATCGATTGGACCTGATTTTTCTAGCGAAGAGTGACGAGGTGCCAACTACACGACCAGAGGCCCCATTCTCGGCCGTACAATGCCGACGACATCGTCGTGCTCTATTTTCGTCGACGGACCAAAAGCTGTCTCGAGATCAGCGAATTGCATCCCCAGGGTCAGCCGCGTTTGTAAAAATTCTTTCGTTCAGAACGTTATCAATTATACGACGATTTAACTCGTAAGACGAGAAATCGATACGGTGACTGTGTTAGGGCGATTGTTTGACTTGGGTAATACAGAGAGTGTTTACTCGGTTGGTAGAGCGATCTATTTTGAATGCGAGGTCGTCTTATTTTAACGGATGTTCAGGTGAGAAAACGTTGCTATGAGATATCAAAGGTTTTTCCTTGAAAAGGTTCGTCGCTGATAATCTGTGACGTGACTCGACACGGACGTAACTTCTTATCCCTTATCGGGAATTAGTTCCACGTTGCGTAGAGATTGAAAGTGGGAATCTGTGGTTAATTAGAAATGAGTCATGTGTATAACCCATCGTTTTATAATTAGAGGCGTACTTGCGCGTTCCTTGATCTCTATATTTCCACGTCTACCTAAATTCGTATCTGTACCGCTAGACCCCGAAATCTCGGCCTCTCTAAATTCCTACCTCAAATATCCCAATATCACTAAATCTATGCTACTCTAAAAGTTAAGCTTCTAAATCTGCAGAGGAAGCTGTTCGTGCAATTCGTCAAGTATTTATAGATAAATAACCGATTCAAAGTGAAATTAGACTGGATGCCTTCTCCATAATTTATACAAAATCGAAAGCTTCCCGGGTTGCAAAGAAATTTACGGTTGTTCGGAACTTGGTAAATAATTTATTTCATCTAAGGTTTTAATTTGTGGCCGACTACGTAATGCTTCGGCCATCACTCATGCAGCATCGGAGACTTTCCCGGCTTGACGTAATAAATTAACGTAAATCCGAAACCACGCGTTCTTATATCGCTTCCTTAATATTCGCTCAAACGGAACTGATTCGTACAACGATTAAAACCATAATTTCCCGTTGACAACGGGAAGGCATTCGATTGCTTAATAAATCACGAGGAAGTAACTAATTGATGCGATAAATCAAGAAGCTGTCGCGTTGATGTAGTTCAGTGGCAGATGGACTTAATCTGATGCGATTTCTCCCTGCCGAACACGCGCGACGGTAAATAACTTCGTTTTGTTTTTCCGTCTTATCATCCACTCTGCATGCATGGCCGTAAGTTTGTAATGAAATTCATAAATTCCGAACGCACGGGGGCACATATACCGCGAGAGAGTATTACAGCGCGTGTTCGCCAGCCATACTCATTACACCGAGTGGCTGTAAATGTACGGTCTCTTTGAATTATCACCGAAAGAATACTGCGGAACGGTAAAGTTTATTAACGGATGATCTAAGTCGCCCGCCTTGGGAAGATAGTTTTACACTTCCCCCAATTTATTGGGACGAGTTTAGTTTAGTTTATTCAACTCCCAACGTGCCACCGCGTTTCGTATACTTAGTTTCACGAGAATGCACGCGTTTCTTGACGGAACAATGTTATAAGATGTGCTTGGAGCACCGCGAATTCTCTAAGTAAATGTCGGCACTTTGTTTACGCTGGCATTTTCTGACACCAGAAATCCCTACAATTTTACAGCTGTAGATTACTAGATTCCATAATCATATTTTACTTCAAATCTATATGTCTACTAATACTCTTCTTGCATCGTTCACGATTTCTACACTAATATCCCTAGGAACCAATGTTCCTAGATCCTGTAACGTTATGTACCGATGACTCTCTATCTCAATTTTCCTAGATCATACTTCAAACGTCTAAATATCCCTAGATTCTAAATTCTCCAGATTCGAAATTCTCTAGATTCTAAATTCCCTAAATCGAAAATTCCCTAAGCCCAAAATTCCCTAGATCTGAAATTCTCCAAGTTCCAAATTCCCTAGATTCGAAATTCCCTAGTCCCGATATCCCTAGATTCGAAATTCCCTAATTTCAATACCGCTAGATTTGAAATTTCCTAATTCCAATATCCCTAGATTCGAAATTCCCTATTCCCGATCTCCCTAGATTTCAGTAATTTTCCCTGTCGCAATACTCCCATATGGCAATTTCCCTAGATCCTAATATCCCTAGATCTCATAACCTTATTTCCCAATATCCCAAAATCTTGATATTACTAAATCGAAACATCCCTAGCCCTCAAAATCTCTATAATCAAATACCTCCAGATCCTCACAATCTCCAGATCCTAATATTCCGTAGATATCTCTTGATCAAAGTACCACCGACTATAAACTTCCCTAAATACCTCGACGTGAAAATATTCCCAGATCTCTGCAACTGCCCAGTTATCTTTATATTTGAGCCTCGTCCTTTGCGCAGTGAAATTTCACGTCTTGTTACGGCATAGCTGTCCACAGATTCCATGTCGGGAAATTCGGTAAAAAAAAAAGAAAAAGAAAAAAAAGAGAAATGAATCTGGCAGAACTCCGAGACGCGGTAGGAAAATTCGAAACCCGATATTTACTTTGGCCGGTAATTTATTACCTTCCGGTGGCCGAGTCGCGATTCCGCTTTGATAGGAAACGAGTTCAACGGTTCAGGGATGCAATTTGCGATTTCAAGACCCCCTTGGACTCCTCTCCCTTGAATAATCTCGTCTGTCGACCGTGTTCCGTAGCTTTCAGCCTGCTCGTTTCCCTCGTGGATCCTTGTCAGCTTGTCCTTCGATGTACCTACGACTTATCGATAACTTACTCTGACAATTTTTCTCGTCCAGATCGTTCATACAATCGGGCTGATGGTCGCACAGCCAAGTTTTCGGTATGCACTCCCCTGGACTGCACTCGAACTCCGTTTCGCTGCACGGTTTCGACCCTTTTGATCGCAATCATTTAATCATTTTTCATCTGCCACATTCCGCGAGCGTTAAGCGCATTGTACGAGCGTGAACACGTGAATCAGAAACGATTTATCAGAATCGCGATTTATTACGGTCGTGGCGCGATATTAATCGGAACAGGCGAACGATGATTTTCCCCGTGTTATGAGTTTCGGGAAGGGAATCTGTCTTCCGACTTCATAGCTCGATCTTTCGTAGACCGCTTTACGCGTCTTACAGTTAATAACGTTTATATTTAGAAATCGATTACGTTTCAGAGATATGGCGAGTTACAAAGAAACACCAACTCTTGAAGGTATAATTAAATAACCGTTACCGCATCGATGCTCCTCTTTCTCTTACTGCGCTGCAGCATCGAATGATGATTAAAATGGCAGAAAAAACACATTACTCGAACATTCTAAATACACCGGCCGCGCAAGATAAAAACGTAAATGCAATTTTCCTTATTAACTTTACTTTACTTATTAACATTTACATTACTTTCCTAAAATTACTTCGAGCTTAGCGCGCGTATTCTGCTGAACCTTAATCGTTATTGCAAAATTATTCATGTGATATAATCTCATTCTTTTTTGCGCGATTTATTTCACTAGTCCAACAACAACTCTCTGTGCAACTTAATAATCACGCCGCATTACTCGAAATTAAAAACTCCGAGAACGAGGAATTATTTTATTCTCGTACGTTCGTATAATTTCTTAGCCGAGTTGCACTTAGCCGATCAGTTGTTTCGCACATTACTCGTTATACGAACGTGCCAAACTCCGTCCGAAATTATTAACCTTTGACTCGCCGCATTATCGATATACCATTGTTCTCGAATTCATGTAATTTCTGCGCGACAGAATGTCGCTTCCGTGTTTCAAAGTGTATCGTATATACATCGACATGTACGCAGTCTGTTACCGAAGGTTGTTCACAAATTGTTACGCAAACGATAAACGCCAATTTTGATGCCGCTTTAATACCGCGGTATACTCTAAGTTCATAATCCCTTTAATCCGATGCAAAATTTCGTTACGCATAAATCGTCTTAACTTTCCGGCTAATTACAACTGAGGGTCCTTATTGCAATTGGGAGACCTTATTGCACCCGGTCCCCCCAATTATGAGTTATGGTTCCTCCGATTACAATCGAGGCAGTTACTTATTACATCCGCATACGCGAGTTTCATACGAAAACTTTCGAACGATTTGATATATAGTAGACTCTTATTATATCGCCACCACTAAGTTTCTTTTACAGGAATTTTCATGTATACGTTTAACGTATCTATATGACTGCATAACTCGTTGTGTCGTCTTATATCGCATCGCATTATATTGCCATATGTTGTATCTATTGGCGGACTTAATTATTTCAATTAATGAAATGATTTTTGTCACATATTCAACTGGAAAGATATTCTTTACGTTGCTAATTATACAAGTCCTCTAGTTACACAACTTCAATATGGCTATATAGTGAGAGACTATTGCAAGTCAATTAATGACATGATTTGTTACGTATACATGATTTGTTGTAACACGAAGGCAGATATTTGTAATGTTGCCAATTATAAAAATCTTCTGTTACAATAATCTTAATATGGCAATATAACGAGAGACTACTGTATCTCACTTAAAATGATTTTTGCTATAAACATTCATCACGAAAGCAGATATTTTCTATATTGCCAATTACAGAACTCTTCTATTACAATAATCTTAATATGGCCATATAACGAGAGACTGCTGTATCTCACTTAAAATGATTTTTGCTGTAAACATTCATCATGAGAGCAGATATTTTCTATATTGCCAATTACAAAACTCTTCTATTACAATAATCTTAATATGGCTATATAACGAGAGACTTCTGTATCTCAGTTAAAATGATTTTTGCTATAAACAATCGTCATGAAAGCAAATATTTTCTATGTTACCAATAACGAAAATCTTCCACTACCTCAATATGGCGATATAACGAGAGCATACCAAATTAGTTAATTAGCGAAACAATTGTTCTAACAGATAAAGTATTAGAAAAGGACCTTGATGA